CTGAGCTAAACAGTGAGTTCAAAGCTTGAACTGGGTAGTAAGACCTTGCCCTACCCTGAAAAAAAATTTTTTTAAATAAATTTTATAAAAAGCTAAGCTGACATGTAAAAAAAAAAGTCCTAAAATGCTTTGCCCTGCCAGGCATGGTGGCATATGCCTGTAATCTCAGCACTTGGGAAGCTGAGGCAGGAAGATCACAGCACTGGAATAAATAAACTTCATTACAGTTTTTTTGTTTTTGTTTTTTGATTTTTGGTTTATTTCTGTTTGTTTTTCTTCCCTTACCAGGAATCAAACTCATGACCTCCTGCTTGCCAGGCAGGCCTGTGCCACTGAGCTAAATCCCCAGCCCCCCCCCCTTTTTGTTTTTTGAGAGGGTGTTATGGCTGATACATTGTGTCAACTTGGGGAGTCTAGAGGTTTGGCTAAGTGACTCAGCAGGGAGCCAGGGTGCTTACTTTGTATAGATCCTGAGCCTGTGGAAGAGGAGGGCATGGAGATTATATGAGTGCAGGCTGGGGATTTAGCTCAGTGGCACAGCGCCTGCCTGGCAAGTGTGAGGTTGTGAGTTCGATTCCTGATACCAGACCAAAAAAAAAAGAGATTATATGAGTGCTACATGACCCCTGGGTGGGGGTAGCCTGTTCACAATGCAAGGGAAGGCAAGAGGCTGCCTGCTGCCATTCCCCACTTTTGCCCTTGTTGCTTTGCTGTGTTCTGCTTCCATGAACTGCTGCCCTCTGCCATGTGCCACTCTGCCCTGGAGCCAGCCAAGTATGGACTCAATCCTCCAAAAACTGTAAGCTAAATAAACCTTTCCTTTCTTAATTTTGCGCACTGAGTATTTTGTCCCAGCAACAAGAGAAAAGTAACTAAGACAGATGGTCTCACTATGTAGCCCAGCAATCCTCCTAACTCTTGTCTCCTAAATGCTGGGATTACAGAGGTATGCTAATAGCACTCTATTCCTTATTCCTTTTAGGTCACATATAGCAATAGTCAATTTGCCTTTAAAAAGTTTAAGTCATAACTGACATTAAATGATTGGATTTAGACAACAGGCACATCATAACAACTTCCCTATAATTGTGAAATCAAAGGGTTAGGCGTGGTGGCACACGCCTGTAATCCTAGCCCCCGGGAGGCTGAGTCAAGAGGATCCTTGAGAGTTTGCGACCAGGTTAGGCTACAAAGTGAGTTCAAGGCCATCCTGAACTGCATAGCGAGACCCCGTCTCAAAAAAACAAAAAATAATAATAATAAAGTAAAAAAAAAAAAAAAAAGTGAAATCAAGCAGATTTTGAAATGGACTAGGTCTATTTCTGTGAGGAACAACATTTTTATTGAAGTGTCCAAGTGACACACTCCCCTAACCCTCCCAAACTCTCCCCACAAGGCCTTCCCCCTGAGGTAGATCCCCAGCCCTTCATTTTTTATTTGGAAACATGGTCTTGCTGAGTTGCTAGTATTTTGATAGGGTCTCTCTAAGTTGCTAACTGCCCAGGTTGTGCTCCAACTCTTGATCTTCCTGCCTCAGTCTCCCACAGCGCTAGGATTACAGACACATGCTACCATGCCCAGCCTTCAATGACCTTTAAGCAAACCAAACTCTGCCTAGAGCTGGTGATTTAGTTCAGAGGTAAAGTGCTTCTCTAGCACATGCAATCCCCAGTACTGGAGGAGAAAAAACAATCTAGAAAGTCCCCAAATTCAATTCTCAGCTCAAATGTCACCTCTTCAGACATGGCCTGGTTGCTTGCTCCATCACTCTGAACTCTAATTCCAGAGCAAATTTTCCTCACCAAAAAATTATTATTATTATTACTATTATTACACTACCATTTCTACCCCATCTGGAGTAGCACTTTCACAAGCACTAAGACATCTGTATTCACCATCACTTACCCTAGTTCCTAGACCCAGTTCCTAGCCTGAAGGAACAGTCTCTTCAAACTTCATTAATAAAACCAACAGACCAAAACTAAATAAATAAATAAATAAAAACCAGAGCGCACTGGAGCTGGAATTTGAGTCCACCAGTGAATGCCTTCCAGTTCTTCACTAACACCCAGTAAATACACTTCTTCGAGGTCTGTCTGGCTGAAGTAGCTAAGTGCTTTCGTTCTGAGGGAGACAGGAAAGGACACACAGCAGGATGGGAACCGATGGGAGTTCCTCAGGCAGAATCCCAACCCCCAGATCAGAATGGCAAGGTCCGGAGGTGACCGGCACCACTGTCACCAGCAGAAACACTAGGTCACAGCCGAGGGTTAAAACACATCAGTGCAGTCTTTTTACCTTAACACTTCTACCAATAGTAATTTGGATGAAAACAGCCTACTTAATAATCAACTAAGTCTTAAAGTGCAACTAAAGAAAACTTAGGTTCCTGACAAAGTGGAAAGGCATTACGCATCATTTATGTGCTTCGAAACATTAAGACTATCTTGTATGTTAAGCAAGAGTTCTACCACTGAGTTCTCCCAAGCCCAAAAGTAACGTTGATATTATTAGGAAAAATAATTCCAACACTATCTTTTTTTAAAAAAAAAAAGAGGAAAACAGAAAACCTAAGACAGTCAGGTATGGTGGCTCGTGCCCAGCTCTTTGAAAAACTGACACAAGAGGATTACAAGTTTGAGGCCAGCCTCTGCAATTTAGCAAGACCGCCTCAAAATAAAAAATACATAGGGACGTGGGTGCATGGTAGAGCATCCTGGGGTTCGATCACCAGTACTAGGGGGAAAAAAAATTACCATTACATCAAGCATGATGCAGAAAACTTAAACCAGCCCATAGGGACTAGTCAGGGTTAGAGAAATCTGTAAATACCTTCTGTGATTGGCTGAAACAGCCTTCAAGCCAGCCCGTTTCTGGTTTGTTTATCCACCTTCAAATACTTTTAACTGGACCTGCCCCTAACCACAGCGCCTCACCTACAATAGGCACAGCCCCTAATTTCCCTAAGCAGTCCCTGTGCTGCAGGAAAGCACAGAACCTGTTCTACCTATTTCGCTATCCTCTCCAAACCCTAACAAAGGAGGCACCTTCCACCATTTGGGAGGCTGAAGCAGGAGAATCATTGTAAGTTTGAGACCAGCCTGGGCTACAAAGCGAGCTCAAGGCCAGCCTGAACTGCATAGTGAAACTTTGTCTCCAAAAAAAAAAAAAAAAAAAAAGGAGGCACCTAGTGAGTAAGTGTTTTTTGTTTTCGGTAATGAAGATTGAACCCAGGGCTTCCACACTGACCTACATCCCCATCCCTCCCACCTCATTTTTTTTTTTTTTTTAATTTTGAGACAGGGTCTCCCTAAATCACCAAATTGCCCGGCCGGGCTCCAATTTGCTATCCCCTCCCTTCGCCCCAGAGTGCTGAGATTGCAGGCACGTGCCACCAAGGACTAAAAATGTTATTTTGGTCCTGTGGCTCCACCATTTAAAAACACTTATTTTCAAACACTAGAGAAAAAAAAATCAAGATTAACACGTGTGGCGCAAAGTAACTGCTGCTACATGTGTGGATGTACAGTGTGACTCACCCACCTGCGCCGAGAAACAACTGGTTTTCAAACCACTGCAAGAACCGCAGGGCCGTGGGGGGAAGAAGCGCTTCTCCTTTCCAGGGATCCGGGAGCGCACCTGTGCGCGTGCGGGCCGCACACCACGCAGCCTGGAAAGCGCTCGCGCCTCCGCGCGTGGCTAACTCCCTGCCGGGCGGCTCGCCGGCGGGGCCGGGGCCTGGGGCTCAGTCCCCTCACTTGCGGCTGGGGGGTCTCGGGAGCCGGCGACCGCGGCCGCGCTCGGAGCAGGCACCGCCTGGGGCCGACGGCGCCCCGCAGCTCCCAACTCGCTTTCTTCCGGTCAAGGCTGGGGCTCCGCGGCCGGAGCCGCGTCCCTCGAAGTCCAGTCTCGCCCCAAAGAAACTCTCCGCTCTCCGGCTTACACTGACGCGGGTCCACACAACTCCCACTACGCGGCTTCAAACCAGCCGGTGGGACCCACACCTCCAGCGCTATTTCAGCGGACGGGATGTGGGGTGCACGCCTGCAAACGCAGCCCTACAGGAGGCTGAGGCAGGAGGATCACACCGAGAACCCCACCTGGGCATCAGGGATCTAGAGACCTTGTCTCGACATAAAGAGGCTGGGGCTGTAGGTCAGGGCGAAGGCCCTGGGTTGAATCCCCCGGAATAAATAAAGAGAATTTTTCTGAGACGATCCAGGCACCCCCTCTTCCCGGGGCGCCCGGGGTGGAGGCAGGCGGAATCGGGGCGCGCGGGGCCGCACTGCAGCCCTCCCCAGCCGGGCTGAACGCGGGGTTCCCGGATTCCGAGCCCCGCGCCTCCCCCGTCGGGAGAAGTGGCCCGCGCCGCTCACGTCCCTCGAGGAAAGCGGCCCGGCCTCGCCGAGGAAGCTCCGCGCCTCCCCGCGGGCTCTGGCCCGGGCGAAACCGCCACCGAAACCCGCGTCCACGCCCTGGCGGCCGGCCCCGC